TGGAAGGAGATAATTTGGGTAAATTTAGGTCAAATCAATCTTGTATTTTAGTTCCAGATGAGTCACTTAAGAAATGATGAATATGTTCAGCTCCAGAGTTAAACTGAAACCTGACCAACGTTTTAGGGCCACAATGAACAGAGATACTATGATGCATTCTGTGATAACTAGGGATGTTGAACATTTTTTCACACACTTCTTGGCTATTTATATATATTTCTTCTTTTGAGAAGTATTTTTCAGTTCTCCTGGTAAAATTGTCAATTTGCTGGAATAAGTTCATGTGTCAGGATTGTGTTGACCCTTTTATATAAAGTTCCTTTGAAGCACACTATTGCCTAAACTTGTCCCCATTTGTGACCCAAGAGCTTGATCACACAGTGTTGCCAGATTCCATAGACTCAACTTTGTTCCATGCCCTGTCCTTGAACAACTGTTATGTCTGAGTGACAGCAGAATCCAGGATCCACTGGACTACAGTGGTCCTGGGTGACTCCACTGGCTACAGTTATCTCTAGTGCCCCTCGTGCGCATGCTGCATATGGTCTGCAGTTATCCTTGGTGGCTGATGAGGGTCTAACTGTACGGTTTACAATTTGTTCTACAAGGAGTCCATCTACTGGGGCTGTTCAACCATATGAACCAGGGAGATTCCACAGTACAGGGATGAAATAGATCCCTGGATTTCATCTTAATATAAAAGTCAACACAAAATTGGCTGAAGACCTCGAATTTGAACAGAAACTCTTTAACCACCAGAAGAAGGCATGGGGTCATGTCTGTGACATATAGTGGCAGGTATTGACTTCCTCAATAATACACCTAAAATTTAGAAAATAGAACAAAGATTAACAGAAATATACCAAATTAAAAGAGTCTGCACAGCAATGGAAGCAAGTATGTGAAGTAAGACGCTAAAGAATGGGAGAAAATCTTTGCCAGCTATGTTTCTGACAGAATGTAATAAGAACTCAAAAAAAATATTAACACCAAAAACATGATTATTTTTAAATACATGACAGTGGAATGCATTACAATTCTAATAATCAATTAAATATTTAAAAAACACAATTATGCCAGTCAATACATGGGCAAATATGTTTCTCACAAGAAGATGGCCCACAAATATATGAAACAATATTCAATATTCTATAAAAACCACTAAGAATTCATCTTCACTTAGAATGTTAAGTATCAAGAATAATAATAAATTCTGGTGAAGGCATGGGAGAAGGGAAACTTAGGCACTGTTGGTGCAATTAGAAGTTAGCACAACCAGTATGAGGATAGGAATGGAGATTCATCAAACACTAGGAAGGGTACCATACCACCACATTACCCAGCTCTGTCTGTGGTATTATTCAAAAGAATTCCAGTCATCGTACTATACCACAATACATGCACACCCAAGTTTATATCAGTGAGATTCGCAATAAGTAAGTTAAAGGAATCAATTTGTCAACTGATGAGTGCATAATAAATGTGGTATACATTCATCAGGAAGCTTTGTTCAGCCATAAAGAGGAACAAACTTATGCCATTTGCAGGAAAATGGATAAAAATGGAAATCATTTTTTTAAGTATAGTAAGACAGACTTAGAAAGACAATGGTCATATATTTCATATCATATGTAGAAGGTTGAAGGAAAAAAGAAAATAGCAGAGACAGTACAAAGGTAAATGAAAGAGACAGGAGAGTCTTGGAAATGAATCACGGAAGGGAGGAGTGGGTGGAAGGGGAAAGCTTGGTCCAGCAGTGAAGCAAACCTCATTACGCTCTGCGCATGCGTGAATACATCACCACAAGCCCAAGTATTGTGTGCAATCCTAATGCACAATACAGCCCTCTGTGTGGGCTGCTTGGATAACTCTTTCCAATGCCTTTATTTTTGTGATGTGGGAGGGTTTTCCATTTGGTCATGGAAAAACTTTAAAAAAATACACATATTTTGTTTATATTATATTTAGTTTGATAGAAATCCCTGTGATGCTGTTTCAATAAAACAGAATTTGATTGTCACTTCTGCCACTGAGAAATATCACCATCTTAAGTGATTACTAATTTTACAGATGCTCTCTCTGTGGTCAGTCTCTTAGGGTTCAACGGTTAGCTTCTATATTTACTGTGCAGTGTACACTGCTTTGTGCCCTACTTCACTTTTCATAAAGCAATTACAATAGAAACTTACTCATAAATTGGTTGTACTATCCGTGATATAATGTGGCAAGCAATAAAAAAAAATATCTAGCACATATTGAGTGCTAAGAAAGTGTTTTATTTAGCATTGTTGGCAATTTTGCTCCTAAAACTACAACTAATAACAATAAAATGAACATTGTAAAACAATTCTTCTACTATAAATCAAAATCCCCAAACTTTATACGGTCTGCAAATGTATGAACCCACTTTATTGATGGAGAAACTTTGCCCTAAAAAGTTAATCAACCATTCTAAGTCCTTCCTGCTGGTTAATATGTGTTGGGGATCAAAACTTCAAGTCATCTTATTCTGGCATGAGCTAAGTCTTATGACATTGTAGTTGTGTGGACAGAATTTACTAATTTTGTTAACCAACTACACTGTTTGTGGGCCTTGGGATACATCCAGGTAAAGCTGTATTTTATTTATGGAGAGTGAACAGTTTGTTGATGCCTAGTGGATTCCTCCAGAAAAGCATGTGAGAACAACTACTGAGATTTATATTGTGCATAATTTTGTCTGGACCCTTTATACTGGATGGACAGCTTGGCTGGGTATAGAGTTGTTGGTGCAGAGGTAGGGTTGGCTCAGTGATAGAGCACTCATGGAGCCTGTGTGAGGCCCTGGGCTTAATCCTCAGCACCACATAAAAATCAATAAATAAAATAAAGGTATTGTGTCCAACTTCAACTAAAAAATAAATTTTAAAAACTTATTGGTGTACACACTTATATGAATAGTTTCATAGCATTTTCCGCACTGTTTTCTGCCACTAAATCTTAGTATGACATATTTGAAATCTGATAAAATTGGTAGCTAAATGTCTGTTAAGTGTTCAATGGAAAAATAGAGAGTGGCACATATAAGTAATGCAATATAGTCAGTCTAAGGAAGGCAGGCACACAATGCTATTTCTTATGGCAGCATGGATGGACATGCAGGACATTATAAGTGACAACAATCAGTCTCAGAAAAGCCCATACTACACTTGTAATGGCATATAGAAAAGATGACATCGGAACAGCAGAGTGGTGCATAACAGACACAGGGATGGTAAGGAGCAGAGGACGAGGGAGTTTGGTCAATAGGTACAGTTTTACAGGTAGATTGGAGAAATATGTCCTGGTGTTCCATGGCACAGTGTGCCATATGGTCAACAATAATGCACCATATGTGTCGAATTAGCAGTTAGAAGTAAGGGTTATAAATAACCCTTTGTCCTTTGTGAAAACTTAAGGAGTTATGAGGTGCTTCAAGCTACATACTTTTACTTGGATATGAATTAGCATTGACTATTCAGGGTAAATGTTTCCCTTTAACGTTTGCTCTATGGATATATCAGTATAAGATCTTTCTTTTTTTTTTACTTATTTCATACATGACAATTGTTATTGTATGAATTTTCTCTTGTTGAGAAACTTTGGGTTCTTTTTTTTAGAAATTGCAATTATTTCTATGTCTGTCTTCTATATATAATCATTTTCTAAAAGGGTGTTTATTTTTAAACATAGTTTTCTTTTCTTCTTGCATCACTATGTCTATATTCCTTCTTAAATTTGATGATTGTGAATATGGTGGCAGTCCTTTGAATCGCATCTTCATTTATGATGAATTTTAGTGCTTTTACCTGTTTCTAACTTTAGTTCTATAGGTTTCTGCATAATATCCTTCTGTTGAAAGGGTCAGAGTTTGAGGTAATTGGGGTAATACTTGCCTTTGTTCTCAACAGTGACGGGAACTTATTCTGATTGTGGATATGTAAATCCAGAGAGAGGGGAAGAGGGAATGGAGAGAGAGGATGGAGGGAGGTAGGGAGGGAGGAGAGGGGCTAGAGATGGGAGAGAGGGGGACATGGTGGGAGGGAGGGAGGGAGGGAGAGAAAGAGAGAGAGAGAGAGAGAGAGAGAGAGAGAGAGAGAGAATATGAATATAGCTATAATAATACAGGAATTCATGGATCATTCTTTTTAGTCAACCGAAAGTACTGACCTATCAACATCATGAAGGAAAGGGTTTACTGCTTGTTTAATTTTACCAAAAATAAATGCCATGGAAGAAACGGCAGGAAAATTGTATAAAGCAAGACATTCTCCATGGTGCTACCTCTTAGTTCTCCATATTCAGAGCCTGGATATAGTGAGTGGCTGTAAGAGGAGCCTGAATTAACAATGAAAACTGCCATCAGGCCTCTGATCACATCCTGGACCACACAGATACAAGACAAAGGAAAAAGCTACACAAAGCCCAGATAATCAGCACATTAGAAAGTTCTTAAAGAAGGAAACTCATCACTACTTGAAAACACAACAGTCACTGGAATAAATTCATTTACTTCACTCTCAAAAAGGCCCAGAATTTGAGGCCAAGCTCTTGGGGAATGAGAAGGATTGACGTTCTTCAGCTAGGAGCCAAGGAAGATGGGAGGCTCTCACCACAAAGCCATGAGAGGGAGCCCAGGTGCTGAAGGAAGAGAGAGAGAGGGAAGCAGGACTGGGCTGGGAGTGGGCAGAAGGCACCATAACGGCAGACCTGTAGGTGGCGCTCCCGAGGCCTGGTTGGCCCATTGTCTTACTTCACTTTATTTTGCTGTATTTATTTTGCTGTATTCAGGATGAGATAACTTGGGTACATTGAGGTCAAATTATCCTTTTATTTCAGGTCCATTTACATATGTTTTAAAAGTTCTAAACATAGCACTTGTTTTTTTATGCTGTAAAAACCAATGAGAATGAAAATAAATCTACGTTGGAAATTTCACTCTTCCAGATCATCATCATCATAATAAATTCAGGAGACACAAGTAATAGAAAGGAACCTCAACTGGTTCTAAATTTTATTTCTTGTTTTAAAAATGAGACACAATGGTGGGATATTCATTTTATTTTTGTAGGCCTCTATGTGTTTGAAATATTAGTTAGATTTTTTAAAAGCCAGGATGTGGTGAAGTGAATAGGAAAATTCTAGTAATTTTCAACAGGTAATTGATTTTTTTTTTGACACAGCTGTATTGTTATACATAGTGTTGAGATCTTCCGTAAAAAGTCATCCATGCAATCAATTTTAGATCACAATCCATCTTTCTCTCCTGTGCACCCCCTTACCCATTTTCCTTCCTCTGACCGACTAGACTTCGTTTTACTCATTTATTATTTTACATTTCATTGGTTCTTTATGTTATCCTATCTTTTCCTTCCTTTTCTCATAGAAATGGTTTTTATATTAAGAACCTCCCAATCCTGTAAATATCCCAAGACAGGAAACAATGTTAGTATCCATAAAAGATCCAGAATTTTTAGACACTACTCCCATGGGAACAGCTCTTTGGGGAAACCCGCCATCTTCTCCTGGTATAATTTATCCAAGGCTTCAGCTTGGGCCACTGTGAGGTGATTCTTCCAGTCCCCAGAGATGCCTGGAAAACATGAAGTAGACGCAGATCAGATCTAGGCATAGGTCTTAAGATGGAGACCTCCTCCCTGCTCTGTCAAGACAGCAGAGTGACCCCTGGGTCATTGGTGAGGCCTTCTCCTGCCTGGCCACCATGCGCATTTCCCCTTCTACCTGTCTGGAAAGTGTGTCCTGACTGCCCTCCATTTTCAAAGCAATCTGTACAGAATCCATACTCAGTGAGGTTGGGTGTAAATCAGAAAATATGGACTATAACAAAGTCTGACCTCTTGTTTTTGAGCACCTTGGTCCAAACCAACAAAATTTCTGACCTAGATGATCAGAGCAGGTCACAACTCATCTTTGTGCGTTAACTTTTCTCTGTGAGAAGTTCTGCACATGGCACCATGTGGATCCATTGGCAGAGCCAGTGGCTCCAGTCACTTCTGGCTCAGAGTCTCCCCAGATTTCCAGTCTCCATCAGCCAAGTTCCCTGGTGATGTTGAGGCTCTAGGTGTAGGGTCCTTGTTGATTCACACTCCATCCTGGGACTGCCCATTGGCTCTCTCGGCTCCATGGCACAGTCTTCTGATTCAGCCTCAAGCTTGCCAGGCTGCCCCCTCCTCAGGGTGTTTACCTTTCCTGCTCCTGACCCAGAGTGCTGTCCTAGCAGACACATGATGTCATGTCCGTTAGCCTAGTTCAACTGTTGACTCCAGTGCAGTGACTCAGTGGGGCTCTCAGTTCTAACCATACAAATCCATCCTTGCTGACTTCACAGCAATGACCAAAATGATATGTTCTATGTATTTCCTTTTAGAATGTCCATACGGAATTCATTTCTCAAATATTAGGACATCTAAAAAATTTATAGACTATATAAGATTTAATTCTTCAAGGAATGACATAGTAAATGTTTAAGAAATAATTTTTGAAATGATTAAAAGGACCATGGAATTTGATAGATATCATTATCCAAAGTATGTGTATGAAGACACAAATTGGTGTGAACATACTTTATATACAACCAGAGATATGAAAACTTGTGCTGTAAATGTGTAAAAAGAATTGTAATGCATTCTGCTGTCATTTATTTAAAACAAAAAGAATGAGTAATATACTAGCATTATACCCTGTTTTACAGAACAGAGTTTAAACAATGCCCTGTCAGGGTTACCCTGTGGGAAAGTGGTGGGGGTCAAATGGAAGCTAAAGTTACGGGCATAAGTCAGACCCTTTCCTTATCTGATTATAGTGCCATTTTATGTATCATACGAATTCATTTTCACATACCAGACCAATCAAATTAATTAATAGAAAATACAACAATATCTGGTGTATATAAATGTAAACATTATACTCATATGAATATAAACAGGAATGTCTAATATGTAATTGTTATCCTATAACCACTGATTCTTATGCCCATGTTCATTGATATCTTCGTCATTAGAACAAGCTTTCTTGACTTCTTCTGCCAGGCATGGGCTCTCCCCATGAGGTACACCCCTAGCTCACTCCTCTGTTTTATGGCTCTGTGCTCCAGCCTCACTCAGTGGCAAGAATCCTGATCTTTTGAATATCTTGTGAAGCATTTAGTCTAAATACTCCATGGATTGCCATTTCAGATACATGTGAACTGGGGAAATTTTGGAAAAACTGGTTCTGTGAGTACATGCAGTAGACATTTTCAATAGACATGAAAGTGAAGGTGTAGATATAATTCATCTTTCTTCACAGGAAGGAGGCGTTACAATGTCTCATCACAAATGACCCAGTCCCTACTTCACCTATTGGCTCATCCTCTATGTATCTCTTCTTGAGGGCAGTTCTCGATGGTAGTCACTAGTGGTGTGGCACAGACATGACCATCTCCAAGATGCACTCTCCTCCCCTGGAGGAATCAGCTGTCTCCAGGGACTGCAGCCCATCCCAGAACCGTGGAGACATTCTTCCATAAGGCACATGAGAGGTTTTCTTGGTTATGAATCACTCAAGTCAATATGTTCAAACACCCTAACTCTAAGGGTCCGGTGGTAAACACAAGAATTCCCTCCAAGTATTCTCACACATTCTGAAACCAGAGCTTTTACCTTTTCTTGTAATTTTGAAATCCTTATCAACACGAGTTTCAGGCAACGTCTCTAAATTGGACATCTTGTTTTCTTTCATGACATGGAAGGAGCTATTCTTGAGGACTGAGTCCAGTTCTTCTGGATTTAACTTCTTTCCCAGGAATTGACAGATCTTCTCTATGGTGCTTCTTGGGTCCTACAATGTGAACAACAAAGAGCGAGTCTATGAGAGGGCAACACAGGGGATTCGGGAGGATTAGAATGAAGGTGTTAGGAGGGCTGGGGGACGGGGGGAGGGGAGAGGAATGACATCAGGATGAGAGGAGATTGCTATGGGTGTCAGAAGGAGGGAGAAACAGAAAGGGTTTTTTCTTACATTGCTTAACAACTCAGAAAAAATTTCTAGATATTTTAAATTACATTAATTTATTATGTAATTTAAAGGTTTGAATTACATTTGGTGCTCTTAAACTCACATCCAGAAGTGGACATCTATGTGCAAGTCAGTGTGCCATTCCTCTACGATAACAGAAAAATAAAGTTAGAATGAGTTTCTATTCAATGTGTGACGATCCAATCTGTAACGTATCACATCTACAAACTCAGACATAAATCATTGATTTAGTTGAAAACACTCAAAATCCTCTTCACTTGCTATTTTGAAATGCATTATTGATTATCACTGTTTATAGTGGCCACGCTGTGCTACAGGTCATTAGAAGTCATTTCTGTTACCCAGCTGTACCCGGCACCCAGCCCAGCAGTGCCGAGCTTCATCTGTAAGCCCTTGGGATGACTCCAGCCCCTGACCTCTCACAAGAGTTACACAAAGTGACAGCTCTCCTTCATCTCACCTGGCCAGTCAAGGGGAGAAGCCAGACAGGTGGACACAACTCTGGGATTAATGTTCTACCCAGTCCCTTCTGATGACGAGGTCTCTATGAACATCATAGGTCCTGCACACAGAAACCTTGGCAGCCATAGGTGCTAGCATAAGCCGTTGCCCTCTGCCTGGGTGTGGGGAAGGGCCCTTTAGATGTTGTCAGATGGAAAACTTTGAAGACATGAAAGAAGAGCTTGCATTTGGGGGCAGATCAATGAAGAAATGGCAATGGAGACCAAGGGCTCATCTCCTCTTAGTGACCCTTAAGAGGCTACGATTTACAGAAAGTTGGGGAGCAGATACTGAGGACCACGGACATTACAGGGAGCAAGGATGGTCAAGAGCTGGCGGGCGCTGCATCTGACAGGTGCTCACCTTCTGCAGCTCTTCATAACTCAGCAGCAGGACGTTCTCCCTGTCTCTCATGGACATCCAGCCACGAATGTGCTCAAACCATGATCCATAGGGCACTGTGGGGCAGGCACAGGGGTGCAGGTTACACACTGCTGAAACAGGGCTGTGCCATCCGTGTCACTCTAACACCCTGACAGCTTGACTCATGTATAATTGACAAATACTCCTCAAACAAGGTGATGAAATAGAGACGGGAACATTTCTGAATTCATTCTATGAAAGCAGTAGCGTATTTACCCAAGACAGACAAGATATCATGTAAGTAAACAACAGCCCAATATTCCTATGAACACAGATACAAAAACCTTATTAAAATGTTAGCACATTCTATTAAGATTATACACAGGGCATGGTGTGTTGACACTTTAGGATTATACTTTAAGACACGTTGATTTCATCCCAGGGATGTAAGCCTGGTTCACCATATGCAAATTCATAAATGTATTTCACCACATCAGTAGATTTTACCTTGAGAGAAGAACATGGCTGAGCATCCTAAAGGTTACATGTGACAAACCCAAAGCCAACATCATGCTAACCTGGGAAAACTGGAAGCATTTCTCCTAAAACCAGGAACAAGGCAAGGATGTGCACTCTCACCACTCATTAAACAGAAGTTTGGGAACTCTAATCAGACAAGTCAGGCAAGAGAAGGGGATCAAGATAATACAAATTAGAAAGAAGGAAGCCAAAATATCAGTGTTTGCAGATGATGGATGCAATGTTTGAAGACCCCTAAAGCTACCCCAAAACCCTTGTAGAACTGATACCACATTCAGCAGAGTAGGAGGATACAAGATCATCATAGAAAAAAATCCATAATAATAATGAATCTGCTGAGGAAGAAACCAAAAATACAATTCCACTCACAATGGTCTCAAAAAACACTTAGGTAGCCAGGTGTGGTGGGGCACACCTGTAATCCCAGGCGCTAGGGAGGCTGAGGCAGGAGGATGGCAAGTTCAAATCAGCCTGTGCAACTTAGCAAAGTTAAGGACCTCAGCGAGACTACCTTATTTATATATAAAATATAAAAATGGAAATTGCTCAGTAATTATTTGGTTTGAGATCAATACCTGGTACCAATTCAAAGAAACAGAAAAACAATAACAACAACAACAACAAACAAACCAACCCTTGGCATACTACTCCACCCAAAGAGCAGATACACCTCTTAGAATGAAAATTATAGAACACTGAAGAAAGAAATTGAAGAAGACACTAGAATGTGAAAACCCCTTCCATGTTCATGGATAACCAGAATTTAAACAATGCCACATTTCCAAAAGAAATCTACAAATTCAGTGCAATCTCCGTCAAATACCAATGAGATTCTTCACAGAAATAGAAGAAATAGTCCCACAATTTTCATGAAAAACAAAAATGCAAAGCCATTATCAGCAATAAAAATAATGATCAAGGGCCGAGAATGATGCTCAGTGGTAAAGCACTTGACTGGTGTTGCAAAGCACTGGGTCTAATCCCAACACACACACACACACACACACACACACATACAATGAACAGTGCTGAATGTATCACATTTTAAATTCTTCACGGTCTCAAATCATACGAAAGTGGTGCAATAACAAAAAAATTGTGCTGTATAAAACAGACATAAAGATCAATTTATTAGAATAGAAAACACAGAGAGAGACAAATCACCCAGATACAATCATCTGATTCATAACAAAGACACCAAAAGCTAATATTGGAGAGAACACAGTCTGTTAAATAAATGGTACTAAGAAAACATGTAGAAGAATGAAGCTAAATGCTGCAACAAATTCCACTCAAAGTGGATCAGCAAATAGGAATTTGACCCTAAACCCCTTAAGTACTAGTAGAAAACAATGGTTACACCACAACATACAGATGCAGGCACAACTTCGTCCACAAGACTCCTCGTGTTCAGGAAACAAAACCAAGAATTGATAAAGGAATGTCATCCATCTAAAAAGCTTTTTTACAGCAATGGTAAGGAGACAAGAGAGGGTTGAAAAATGGGGAGAAAATCTTTGTCAGCTACTCTTCTGACAGATGATTAATATCCAGAATGTATAAAGAACTCAAAAATCTTAAAACCTCACAGTGGAATATTACTCATCAATAAAAGAGAAAATAATTTCATTTGCAGATAAATGGATAGAGTTAGAGAAGATAATGCTAAGTGAATTTAGCCAGTTCCCAAAATCAAATGCAGAATGCTTTCTCTGATATAAGGAAGCTGATTCATAGTGGGGTAGGAAGGGGAGCATGGGAAGAACAGACAAACTCCAGATAGGGAAGAGGGGTGAGAGGGGAGGGGAGGGTGCTTGGGGTTAGAAATGATGGTGGAATGTGATGGACATTATTATCCAAAGTACATGTGTGAAGACACAAATTGGTGTGAAAATGGATGGAACTGGAGACCAGCATGCTCATTGAAGGAAGCCAGGCTCACAGAGTCAAGGGTTGTCTGCTTTCTCTCATACATGGGACGTACACAGAAAAGAGCACAAAAGTCATGCCACACAATTAGGAGAGCAGTGTGGACGCAGATCTGTAGGTCACAGAGACTCACCGTGGCCTTGGAGGAACCACTGAAAATATTGATCCAGTGACTCTGGTTTCTTAGAAAATTTTGTCGTAGTCCAAAAATAGTAACCTGACACGAGGACATCTTTGGGATTTCTCATGATATATATCACCTTAAATGAAGGAAAATGAGAGAAAGAAAAAAAAAAAACAGTAATAATCAGTCCTTTCCCACCTTGATTTTCATCTTTTCCCAGGAAGTTCTTACTTAACATCTGCTGAACATCAAGGGATTCATTTAATTAATTATTTATAGCATTCATTCATCAAATACACATTTTAGTTTCCCATTATAGGAATAGAAGAGGAAGACCTTGCCTCTTCATTCTAGGACATTAGGTTACCCAACATGGGAGCCTTCAGGAAAGTTCTAGATGGTGTTGGTGAGGCACTTGTGTGCTTTGCCATAATGATCACTAACAGCAGAATGAATTGATCAATGATGGTACATTCACCTTCATAGCAACACACAGTCATTCTCACACTCAAGCCATGGAGGAGGCTCACAGATAGGACATCCATGCAGCACGAATTCCTTATTCAAAATACAGATATACACCAAAGCAATCTGTAGCTGAAGTGCAGGGGGAGTTTCCCTCAGGTGGTGGGCACTGATGGGCACAAGGAAACTGGGGGACTTTCTGGACAGCAGGAATGTTCTAGTCTGGTCTGGGGGATAGTTGCCTAACTGTGTACATATGTACATATTAAGAGGCTGGTGTTCAAGATTAGTGAACACACACACAAACAAACACACTCACTATTTTGTACTTGAACATCACAATTGACTTTGTATTTGCACCAACTTTCCTGGTGTTGTTATTGGAGGTCTTGTGTCTCCTTAGACCTCAGTTTAATTGGGCAGGGGTTAAAGCAACCCAACAGGAGACATGGAAGTGGGTCTGTTGGAGCAGGTTCACTGTTACATACTTTATGACATTTCCAAGAGTGGAGATTAGTATTCCAGATTTCTTGGTAATGTTTGAACAAAAACATGAAAAAGTTCAGAAGTCAACAAACACTTTTCAAAGGTATTTTTCTAAAAAAGAGTCTGATGACCAAGAGATCTGGGATATCCCTGGTCTGTGCTGATCATCTGTCAGCCAGAGGGAGGCTGCAGTGGCTGCGAATCACAAGACACAGTGGCGTGCCCTGGGCTGCCATGGAGACACAGCTGGCCACCACTCCTGAGCCACCCCTGGATCCATGCTTTTTCAATGTGTGCGTGCTCCGCTCCCATGTGGGCACCACTGACCTCTCTGCTTCCACCTACCTGGCAGGAGGCTTTTATTGAATTAATACAGGCTGACGTCTTAAAGAGCTGCAAGGCTGGGATAATCCGGTGTAGATTGTAAATTCTGCTTGCACAGGAGAGTGGTTTTCTAAGATTCTGGCATTAGCCAGTCCCTTCACACCTGAATTCAGGCTAGAATAATCTATGCAATGTCAAGTGTGGTCTGGTTGTGGCCACATCAACCTAAACTATTATCCCAGGTCTCACCCAGCCTACCCAGTGAGCACACACCCCAGCAACATCTGCAGGGGTTACCTAGGACATGGAAGGGAAAAAGCATTGATCAAACATTAGGCACTCACCTTGGCCTTGGAAGTGAAAAAAGATTTGGGGAAGAGATGGAAGGGGAGGTGAGAGGTCAGGAACCGTGGGCCCTCTCTCTCCTTTAACAATTTGTATCCTGTATCTATCTCTAACCAGGGTGCACGATCCCAGATGGACACAGATCGAATCCACGTGGTATCGCCTTTGGAGTGAATCAGGCAGAGAATTTCAATCAACCAGTGGGTTCCTAGATAAGAAAGTGAAAATGATGGTCACTCATTTCAACATGACTTGCGAACAAAAAATTATGGTAAAATGCATAATATAAACTTTACCATAACATAAACTTTACCCATTTTAAGATGCAGTCAGGTACTGCTAAGCAGTGTTAAGCACATTCCTAATTTTGCTCTTACAATGTCCAGATACTTTTATCTTTGAAAAACTCAAACTCTCAGCTTATTAACAACATTTTCCATGTTACTCCATATTTGGTCTCTGGAACCCATGATGCTTTTTTTATGAACACTAGGTATTTTACAAGAGTAGAATTCTATAGTATTTGTCCCTTTGTGCCCAAAATGTTGCATCTAGCATGACTCCCTCAAGATTGCTCTATGTTGTAGAAGGTGTGAGACTATTCTTCCTTGTGAAGGCTGAATCGTATCCCATTGTATCAACATGCCACATTTTGTTATGCATTCATCTATGAAAGGATTTTAGGTTGCTCCACCTCTTGGCTGTTTGCTGAGGTCAGTTTTATATGTTCCCCTTTCCCTTGACTTCCCAGCACAGTGCCCCTTCCAAGGACACTGGCCTCAATCCTCGCCCTGTTTGCAATGCCCCTGCCCCCAGGCCCACCACATAGATTTATGATGCATGTCCTTTCAGTCCCTTGAATTTCTCAGGCTCCTGTCTGATTCCCAGCCCTTGTCCATGCTGACCCTCCTGCTCTAAAATCCCCCTCCTCACCCCATGGCCTCCCACTCCCTCTTTCATTTCTATGGAGCTGGTATTTCACCCTTAAGTGCTCACTGGTCATTCTCTGCCACCCCCCTCCCAGGCCACCACACAGATGCCTGGGTGACATTAGGATTCACTCCTGTATCTTCCTGCAGTAGCTTAGCTGACCCCTGCTGAGCACTTATGTCACTGTGTCCTAGTCTGAGTGGAAGTGGCCTGGGGCACTGCCCCTTCCACCCCCAAGCAGGGCTCACTGGCTGTAGAGGCCATGAACTCCATCTGCTGAGCAGGGGAGGAACACAGCCCTCGACGTTCTCATGGACAGTTCCTTTCTAGTTTCCTTACCTGACTTAGGGTATGACACCATTACTGTATCTTCATCCTTTATCACAAATTTAGTACATGCTTCTTTTAGGCCTTCATAGCTGTAATCAATAGAAGGGAAAGGTAACCCTTCAAACCACAGGTAGCCGTCTGTCATGATGATGATATCTCTGTGCCCGGTGCTGAGGTTCACACCATTGGACCTTATGGGAGATAGTGAAATTGGACTTTAAATCCAGTCTTACTTTAATGAAATTCAAAAAGAATCATTAATGATTTGAAAGAATCATTAACTTTTTTTTGTTATCAGCTCAACTGGATCTAAAAACAAATAGTGACTGTTAGTCCAAAGTTTCACCGTATTGATCAATTTTGGACTCATACAGAGAACATGAGCCCTGTGACCTCAACATGATCTCATGACAGGACGCCATGGCAAGTGGTACAAAATAATCCCACTGATGAATCCCTGAGACCTGAGAAAGCCACTCTTTCTCATTTATTTGCATTTGAAGAGTTTTCAAAGTAGAATTTTTACATGCAACCGACTGATACAGTGTATAAATAATAGCCTGGAAACAGACAGAGGGACAGTGGACTGAAGACTCTCAGGTAAAGGGCAGGAACCTGCTTCAGAGGCAGCAGATATGAGGGTGGACTGTCACTGACTCCTGGGTCCAGTCCTCCATTACCTTCTGATTAACCTGTGGGAGTGGATTTCTTGCTGTCAGGAGTTAGGGGCCGATTTAGAGAATTTTCATGTCTACCACATCAAGGATCCATCAAAGCTCTGCCTCGTCCTTGGTCCAGCACTCTCAGTGCCAGGGGACTTGCGAGGCCTACAGCTTCACATGCTCCAGCAACATGCTCATCCCCGGGGCCCATAAATAGGGACCTACTGATCCTAGAATTGCTTAAAGAAACAATGACATTTTCATCAGTCCCCATGGGCTTCTGTCAGCTAAAAGGGAAACCAATGGAATCCTAACGCCTGATGTAGACCCCACGTAGAAGACAACAGAGTTTCATGTAGAAGGTATGAAAATCAGGAGAAAAAACATTTTCCACGCTTCCTGTTAATCCTTGGGTGTATCAATAGATTGAGCACTTGTGTATGACACTAGGAGCTGTTGATACTGACCCTAAATATGATGTGGCCACAGACTCTTGTGTGTATATTGGGGAGAATGATCAACAATTGGGCATGAGTAGTATTCTAGCTGAAGGAAAAAGCTGATCCAATAGGAAAAATTGGAGGGGGATACCAGTTCTCTGACAGAGAGAAAGATATGTGCACGAAGAAAGAGCACTAATTTTTTAATTTAAGGATATATTTTCTTTAAAACTTTGTTTTTCTTATTTATTTATTTATTTTTTTGGTGGTGCTCAGGATCAATCACAGGGCCTCACACATGTTAGACAAGTGCTCTACCCCTGATTCAAAAGCCCAGCCACAAGAGCTACCTTTCTAAAAAGGAGACACTTTTTCATGACTTTTGTTTTATTCCTAGTATTGCCAGATAATTCTAAAAGTTATAGCAATCACAGTTATATCCTACATTTTCTTAATCCATCCACCTGCTGATGTGTTCCTGGGCTAGTGCCAAAATGTGGCTCTTGTGAGTTACACTGTTATAAACCTTGATGTGGCTGTGTCCCTACAGTATTCTGACTTTAGAGAAGGATAAATATCAAGGAATGGAATAGCTGGGTCACCTTGGGTTCCATTCGTCTTTTGAGGAATCTTCTCACACTTTCCAGAGTGGCTGGGCTAATTTCCAGTTCCACCCACAGTGGATGAGGCCCCTTCCCCCTCCTCCCCTCAGCATTCATTATTTGTGTTCTTGATGCTCATCACTCTGACTAGGGTGAGTAGATGTCCCAGTGTAGTTTTCATTTGCATTTCTGTGACACCTAGGGATGTGGAACTTCTTTTATATATTTGTTGGCCATTTGTATTTCTTCTTTCTTCTGAGAATTGACTGTTTAGTTCTTTTTTTTTTTTTTTTTTTTTTGGTAAAATGGTTAAATTTATTGGAAAGAGTCCCTGTGTGTAGAGTGTGGTGACACTTACATATAGTTCATTTGAATCACCTGCTGGCCTACATTTGTCACCAGGTGTGATCTGAGTTATGCTTTCTGCTGGATCCCACAGTGTCACCAGAGTCCAAGCTCAGTACTGAACTTGTATCCATGCCCTGTCCTGGACCACTCTTATGTCTGAGGGACAGCAGAGTCCATAGTCCACTGGACTAGAGCAATCTCTGAGTGACCCTGAGTCCAGCTCTGTGCTGCCGTATGCTTGTTCTCAGTGATAACCAAGTTCACGCCGTACATGGAAAACCGTGGGTGACTCCTGCATCAGTGCTACACTGGCAACAGATATCCCCAGTGTCCGTGAGTGCCTGCTGTATACGGTCTGCATTTATCCCTGGTGGCACAGGAGGCTCTCACTGTACTGTTACAATCTGTTCTTCCTGTCTCATTCTTTAACTGGGGTGTTCCTAAAGATGTCACCCAGAGAGATTCCACAAGAAATTCATGAAGTAGATCCTGTACTTCATCTTCATATAAAAGTCAAAACTTCATGGGTCAAGACCTAGAGTCAGACCAGAAACTTATTAACTGCTAGAAGAAGACATAGGGTCAACTCTCCAACATAGAGTTGCAGACACTGACTTCCTCAATAAGACTCCTAAAATGTAGGAAATAAAACAATGAATTAACAAATAGAAAGACACCAAATTAAAAGAGTTTTGCACAGCAATGAAAGAGGTATGCAAAGAAAGATGCTAAATGATGGGAGATGATCTTTGCTGGCTACTCTTACAGAATGTAAAATTAAAAGAAACTCAAAAAAAATTTTAAAAACCCATTAACACCAAAACTACTTCAATGTCTAAATATGCAAATAGATTTAACATACATTTCCCACAAGAAGAAATACAGATGGCCAACAAATATATAAAACAATGTTCAATATTCTTAGCAATCAGTGAAATGCAAATTAAAACTACAGTAAGATTTCATCTCTAGTTAGAGTGTCAAGTATCAAGGATATTAACAAATTTTGGTGAGGGCATGGAGGAAAGAGCACCCATGTGCTGTTGGTGGAAAGAGAACTTAGCACAGCCACTATGGAGATAGGGAGGGAGGTTCTTCCAAAGCTTAGGAATGGAGCCACCACGTGAACCAAGTCCAACACCCCTGGGCATTTGTTCAAAGGAATTCAAGTCAACATCCTGTATAGCACCACATGCACACCCCTGTTTATGCCAGTGAGAGTCACCTAACCAAGTTAAGGAATCAACCTTCCACCGATGAATGGATTTAAAAATGGGGTATGTATATGTACCAGGGGCTTTATTCAGCCATAAAGAAGAATGAAATTATGTCATTGGTAGAAAAATCATAGCAAAGGTATGTAGCAACAAAACATTGTACTAATATGAAAATAGATGCATAGATCAACTGAGTAGAATAGAAGACAAAGAGACAAACCCATACATAGAGTCATGTGATTCTTAACAAAGACACCAAGAGCAAATCTTGGAGATAACGCTGCCAATTTAATAAATGGTGACTGGAAAACTGATTATCTACATGTAGAAGAAGGAAGCTTGGGTACCCCAAGTACCCTCCAAAGTGGTTGGAGCTGAAAGGGACCCGGGGGGGGGGGGTCACCCGAGTAGTCTCTGTTCGGGGTCAGCGAGCAGAGGGGACACCCACCGTGACTCCCTTTTCTGTTTGGTTTGGAATTGTTGGAATTTGGTCAGTATAGAAATTCTGTCCTGGCCATGTCTGTGGGAAAGTGTGTGAATGAGACGGACAAAGGGATCCAACCCGAGGGTCGAAGCGAATGCAGAGTCCTGATCCGCGGTTCCGTGGCCCCTCATACAGTCTATGGCGGAATTTCACCAACCAACGTCCAGGTCAAAGCTCCAGATCGGGGTTGATACCGACCCACAAGGCCAAGAGGGCCCTAAGTCCCCACGAGGGGAGCGGCCAGAGATGGACGAAGCAAGTCTTGTCCTAAGTGTGTTTTGTTCTAAGTGTGTGACACCGAAGCAGGGTGGACCATGGGAGGCACACTAAGGAAACTGAGCCTCTGAAATATGTGTTAGAGACCTTTAGGAAGGTTTTCCTGGTGACTGTGGGTGAGACTCACTCCACAAAGGTGGCATACTCTGTGAATTAGAGTGGCCCACCCAAGATGTGGGCTGGCCACCAGAAGGATCTTTACATGAGTCATTGCTGAGGTCCTTTGATTGTTGTTGGAACTTTCTCTGAACCAATTCTCTTACATTGATTGCTGGCAAGAGATAGTACAAAAACAGTCCCCTTTGTTGAGAGCCTGTCTAGATGGACAGTCCAAACTGATGTTAGCCAGGAGCATAGTGGTCTCTAAGACCCAGCGGAAAGCAGCTAAACAGAAAACCTGACTAGGAAAGACAGGAAGGGAATAGTATTCCCCGTGAGCCAGAAGAGGACCCAGGACCTATGTGCCACTCTACGCAACTTTGCCAAGACCACTGGGACAGCAGACTGTTCCCTAGCCCCCTCATCCTCAGAGGCAACAAATGATGGCCCCCAATCCTGGCCATTCCTTCCTCTGTGATGTCCTCAGAGCCAAAGGCTTCGTAGGACCAAAGACTCTTCACCTCCCAAGAATAAGGTGGGAGATTTGTCCCGAGACCAGAGCCACAATTCAGATGAGAACTCTCCAGATGCCCCTGCAAGGGACTAAAGGACCTGCCCATGTTGTCCAGAAGGGAAACACCTGAGGGAGACAAGGCCGTTTTGTGTGCCAGCCTTTCTCCACCCCAGAGCTCATAAGCTGGAAAAATCATGCTCCCGCCTACACGGAGAAACCCTGGGCCAGGACTGATCTGGTGCAGCCCATTATCCAGATCAGGGATGGGGCCCAACCAAGAAGAAGGTCTAAAGGTAAAGAGATGTCAAGCAGCCCTCATAGGAAGTCTAAAAGAATATTAAAAAATAATAAAACACACTGTTCCCAAGAGTTAGAAGGAATCGGAGCCAGCCCTGAGCCCTGGTCTAAGCCAAAGGCATCTGCAGACAAACAGAGCCCAGATAAGCCTCCTGTTGCTCCAGCATCTCCCTCTCGCACCCTCGATAGCCCCGAACTGGGCCCCACATCTGCCTAAGGCCCCTCTGCCCTATGAACCTGGCAGCAACGATC